ACACACACACACACACACACACACACACACAGCCCTGCACACAGGAGGAATATCTGTCCGTTTCCCCAGCCCCTCCGATTGCCCAGCCGCCTGGGGCAGAGACCCTCAGAGCTGCGGGTGAAACTGCAGGTCCCCCACACCCATGTTCCTGTCCCCCAAGCCCGAACCTCATCCAGAACACCCCCTCACCAAGCTTCCGGCCCGGGACAACTCGGAAGGCAGCCTCGGAAGCCCCCCGTCCCCGCCCCCAACCCGTCTGGGAGCCCAAGGTTCCACACAGGATCCTCGAGGATGTAGTCCTGCACCTGAGCGGCTTTCCAGCTGCGTCGCGCGGGAAGCGTGGGGCGGTTGTTTTTGCTTTACTTTTCGCCCAGGTAACGGCTCTCCGGGCCCCACCCTCCACCCCCACGGCCACACCCCCTCGCACCCAGCCCCACACCCCCCTCACCCCACCCTCCTGCAGACGCGCGGGCAGGTAAACCCCGGGCGTGTCGGCACAACCCCTAGAACAGTGCAAGACCAGAAGGAAGAACGTTTATACATTTAAATGAAAATTATTTGGGATTTTCTACGCATGTATTATATCTTCTTATCTATTGCTCTGGAATAAATTGCACCATCATAAATTGAAATAAGGAGATGGAGGAGAACATGTGAACCCACCCCTTTTTCTTTCTCTCCGTGAAATGCCTACAGTAATCTTTAACCAGTTTACATTTTAATACACCCAAGCCAGATTTGTGGTTTAGTCCTGTCCTTGCGGGGAAATTCAATTTAGGGCGTAGGGTAAACAAACAGCCAGACCAGCCTCCACAAAACAATGCAAGAGAAGGGTAATTACGATAGAGAAGTCCACAACCCCTAGTCGTTTATTTTAATTATCATCGTGCCTCCCGTTCCTTTTCTTGGTCTTGTTTCATTCAAATAAGTCTTGGTTTTGAATCTCCAAGTGACCCCTGGGTAGAAAATGCTGTCAGCTGGTCACAGAAGTGTGAGCCTCGCATTCTCTGCTTCCCTGGCCCGCTGAAACTCTAAAAGTGATAAGAATCTTGACAGAGAAGTAAGTCCACCCCTTGTGAATGAAACTCTTATCCAAGGAAAACAAAAACTAGGGCTGCTTGACTCCCTGCCCCCAGCCCCCAGGAGGACTGTGAAATGCCTGCCCAGCTGGAGAGAGACGGGGAAAGATTCGCGCTTGGGAAGAGCCCCAAGGTGTGCGCTGCTGCGGGAGTGATCAATATCTCAGTCCTGTGTGTCCTCATTTCACCCTGACTTTAGTTAAAGCCACCAATGTCTAGCGTGCATACTCTGTACATCTAGAAGTGGGGCAAGAAGAGCTCCACAGACCAAAATGCTTCTCTACACAAGGGCAAAGCACGCCTCCCCCTCTGAGAAGGAAGCGCGGGGCTGGGGTTTTTTGGGGGGCGGGGAGGGGGTTCATCCTCAGTGGAAGAGGGTTAAGCAGAAATGTGAATATTGCTGAGGTGCCACGCTGGAGAACCGCCGAGGGAATCCACATTCAGACCAGCCTTAGTATGTTTTGCTGAGATAAGAATTGGAAACTTCATGCCGGGGCATGTGCGAAAGGAAGGGGAAAAAGTTAAAAGCAGAGGGGACGGAACTAGGCAGCTAAAAACAGCCCACTCGTGGCAACGGAATCTAAACACCAAAACACTGCAGGGAGCCAAAAAAAAAAAAAATAGTTCAAGGGATATTTAAAGGTTTTGGCAGTTTCTTAGTCCAGGGAACAGTCCCTTCCCACTCTGCCCCCCCATGACATTATTCTTCTTCAAACCCCAAGATTGCATTTGCTTACAGAGCTCTGGACAGGTAAGTGCAACACAAAATCAGGGGAACAGCCGGGGACCAGTAACCCTGTCCTGGCTCCACCCACTTCTTCACCGCAGAAAGGGAGTGGAGAGGATTTTTCTTCTTTACTCTGCCTTCCAAAGCCCACACTTTCTATAAAGTCAGTTAGAATGTGGGGGTTGCTCATTTAAGATTCTCTGAAATGGGCCTCTCGGGAAAACCAGGGAAGCATCCCATACTGGACTCTGAAGCATGGAAGGTGGCCCATGAATGCTGGATTCAGCGCTTAGCAGCTGTGTTATCTTGGAGGAGTCATTTCTCCCTCTATTGGCTGAGCTGGAAAATGGCACCAGTAACAGCACCTAACACATAAACTTGTTGGGAGGATTCCCCGAGGATGGGGTACACAGCCAGTCCTCAGTGGTGGTATCATAAATTATGAATCAAGAGGGGCTTTCTAGGGGAAATCCCTGAATCTCTCCTAGAGTCCATTCTGTCCCTTTAGTCAGTAGCAACAGTGGTGGATGCCGTGGAGCTATATCCAGAAATGATCATCTTCAAAGGAGCGGGGATAAGACTCCATACAGAAAACAATGAGAGCAGATCCTGGTTCTCTACCCACACAACTCTGGGTTTGCACCTGCCACTCTCCTCAGCACAGGGTGGTGCTTCAAGCTCCCACTGGTCCAGTGCAAAGTGTGTTGGGCTGGGACCAGGGGGTTTGAGGTCTGGTCTGTTTCTGCCTTTGGTATTCTTGAGCAAGCTACTCCCTCTCCCTAAGGCCCCACCTTCTCTGAAGTGAGGGGCCCCCGGCTGAGCACTGAGGGTCTTGAATGGACACCAGCTGAAGCCGTCCACAGCCAGCCCCTGGCAACCTCTCCGCAGAGAGCTGGAGGGAAAGAAGTGGCAAGAGGGAAACACTGAATAGCACAAGGACAGACCCATTTCGGTAAACACTTTTCCTCTCCAAAAACTAGAGTTGAGAAATGTTGTCCAACCTGATTCTCAAACACAGCCTGTGGTCCTGACAACTGATCTTTCTCTCTCTCTTTCTCCACATTTCCAGGGAATTTTACCAATGGACTTGGTGCCTTGCTAGAAAGGAGTGGGTGTGAGAGCGCTTCAGGTGGGGTTTGCATCTTTGGGGACATCCTTGTACGTAGTCCATCTTCTACTGCCATAGACACCCACCTTGGACCATGTGACCAAAGTCCAGGTAACAGCTATTCCCATTTAAGAGTGGGGACCCTAGAGTCCTGGGTGTCCAAGATGAAGTCCCAGCCACCGGGTGATAACAGGACTCAGAAGACCTGGGATCTACTCAGAGGTTTCCTTCCAGCCAACT